GGGGCCCACGGATCAATTTTCGCACCGGGGCCCCATGGGTCATGTGTACGCCACTGCTGGGGGGTTAGGGGTGATGGGGGGTAGGGCTACTTCTGGGGGGGTAAGGGTGCTGGGGGGGGTAGGGGTACTGCTGGGAAGGGTAGGGGTACTGTGTGTCAGTATACCCCCCCTCCCTCCTTCTTACCTTTAATAAAGTGGGGGGGGGGGACACAGCCATCCCTGGTGGTCCGGTGGTGGTAAGCACTGCAGGGGTAGGGATCTGTGATGCAGCTCCCCTGTCCTCCCGCGCAATGCTGTGTGGAGCGTTGCCATGGTAACGCGCGGCAACGCTCCACACAGCATCGCGCGGGAGGACAGGGGAGCTGCATCACAGATCCCTCCCCCTGCCTCCCGACCCGGAAGCAGAGTAGGCGCCTGCCGTTTCGGGCAGGCAGGTGCCTACTCTGCATTGATGGCGAACCTGTGGCCGCGTGCCCACAGAAAGGGCCCGGGTGCCAACTGTGGCACGCGTGCCATAGGTTCGCCATCACTGAGCTAGTGGAACGACTTGGGAGAGCTCGGTACCTCACTACACTAGATTTAACCAAAGGTTATTGGCAAGTACCACTCACAGAGCGAGCAAAAGAAAAGACAGCATTTTCTACTCCTGATGGCCTTTTTCAGTACAGAGTTTTGCCTTTCGGCTTGCAAAGAATGATGGACAGAATACTAAAGCCGCATGTGCGCTATGCAGCTGCATACTTGGATGATGTTGTAGTACACAGTGAGGAATAGGAATCTCAAAAGTACAGGCTGTCCTTAACTCAATACAAAATGCTGGCCTCACCGCTAAACCCAGTAAGTGTACGATTGGCCTAGAGGAAGCAAAATATTTGGGCTACTTTATTGGTAGGGGACTAGTGAAACCCCAAGTTGCTAAAATTGAAGCCATACAAAACTGGCAAAGACCACTGACTAAAACAGGTGAGAACTTTTCTTGGCCTCATTGGATATTACAGGAGATTTATATCCAATTTTGCTACCATTGGAAGCCCACTAACTGACCTTACTAAAGCTAATGCTCCAGTAGTGGTAAAATGGTCCCCAGAGACTGAACAAGCATTCAGAAAGCTTAAAGAAGCCATTTGTGCCAAACCAGTGTTGGTAACACCTGATTTTTCTAAAGAATTTATTTTACAAACAGATGCATCTGATGTAGGGCTTGGTGCCGTTCTTTCTCAGGAAATTCAGGGTGAGGAGCACCCCATATTATATTTAAGCAGGAAGCTTAATCCCCAAGAAAGAAACTATTCCATTGTTGAGAAGGAGTGTCTGGCTATAAAGCGGGCAGTAGACACACTTAAATACTATTTCTTGGGATGAAAATTCAGACTAGTGACAGACCATGCACCCCTTACTTGGATGAGCCAAAACAGGGAGAAAAATAGTAGAGTAACCCGCTGGTTCCTTAGCTTGCAACCCTACAATTTTTCCATAGAGCATAGGGCTGCGTGTAAACCGGGAAATGCAGATGGTCTTTCGCGGATGCACTCGCTAATGTCCATGGTCGCGCGACCCAATAGGTCTGAGCTGGGGGGGGGGAGGATGTGTGAACGAAAGCAAGGAATTGTCCTAGAGGGAATCTATATATCTCCCCAGATTTTGCAAGGTTCCTATTTTGTGTAATTAGCCCCAGGGAAATGTGTTATGTTAAAATGATTATTGCACTTTAAATTTGTGTATATTTGGGCCCTGGGGTGGAGCACTTGGAGAGTAGGGTGGGCCAGTGCTCCACTCCACATTTTGGAAGTTGCTTGGAACCTACAGGTGAGAAGTCCAGTTCCAGAGTTTCAATCCTAATTTAAAGGACCACTCTAGGCACCCAGACCACTTCAGCTTAATGAAGTGGTCTGGGTGCCAGGTCCAGCTAGGGTTAACCCATTTTTTCATAAACATAGCAGTTTCAGAGAAACTGCTGTGTTTATGAATGGGTTAAGCCTTCCCCTATTTCCTCTTGTGGCTGTCCCATTGACAGCCGCTAGAGGCGCTTGCGTGCTTCTCACTGTGATTTTCACAGTGAGAGCACGCCAGCGTCCATAGGAAAGCATTATGAATGCTTTCCTATGTGACCGGCTGAATGGGCGCGCAGCTCTTGCCGTGCATGCGCATTCAGCCGACGGGGAGGAGAAGAGGAGGATCGGAGGAGGAGAGCTCCCCGCCCAGCACTGGAAAAAGGTAAGTTTTAACCCCTTTCCCCTTTCCAGAGCCGGGCGGGAGGGGGACCCTGAGGGTGGGGGCACCCTCAGGGCACTATAGTGCCAGGAAAACGAGTATGTTTTCCTGGCACTATAGTGGTCCTTTAACTCACCTGAAAAGGATTGTCAATTACAGGTGCTATTAAAGGACCACTATAGTGCCAGGAATACATACTCAGGGTCCCACGGGTTCTGGGGAGAGGAAAGGGTTAAAAGTACCTTCTCCAGCGCCAGGCGGGAAGCTCTCCCCCATCCTCCCTCCCTCTCCCCGGCTGGGAATCTTACCTTGGCAAAACTTCTTGTAGCGCATTCGCGATGCAGAAAAGCGTACAATCTTTCACTATGACACTAACGTGTTCTCACTGGCGACGGTAGAATGCAAGCGCCTCGCGGCTGTCAATGAGACAGCCACTAGAGGATTTGAGGGCTGGATTAACCCATTTATAAACATAGCAGTTTCTCTGAAACTGCTATGTTTATTAAAAAATGGGTTAAACCTAGCTGGACCTGGCACCCAGACCACTTCATTAAGCTGAAGTGGTCTTGGTGCCTAGAGTGGTCCTTTAAGTACTCCCCTGCCAAAGGAGGAGGGAGATTGTGTTTGATTTCTGTGAGTGAAAACAGAGAGCTGAAAACCCTGAAACAGTAAGGTTGTTGTTTATGTTGGGAAATGGACAAGCCATCCAACCTAGTTAGCTAATTTTTTTGTTTAGTGTGTCCTCAGAAGAGCAAGGATTTTGTTACAACCTTTTATACCTTACTGTGCATTTATTTTGGAACCACAATAAAAAGAGCAAGTCCTTTTACCTCATCCAGCGTGTGAAGTGTCTCTAAAGCCTGAAAAGACTGCGTGTAACACCCCAATCCCAGGACAAGGTACCAAGGGAAAGGAGTACTTTTGTTACAAAATATATATATATATATATATATATATATATATATATATAAACACATAACAGATGTAGAGTCATGTAGCTGGTGTCTGTATACATCCGCAACAAAGAAACACAGTATTAAAAAGGGGTAGTGGCAACAAAGTATCAACAATCGTAGACCATGAAATAAGTCCTTGAATGCTGGCTATGATATCTATATAGACAGTCCTAATTTGTATCTAAAATATAGCACTGCTATTAGGATTAGCCACTGCAACCATTGTGCCTTTGAGGGCACCTAAACTGCAGAAATAATAAACTGGCTACTAACTGGAAAATCTAAAAACTGAAATTAGGATAGAATTACCAGACTAGCACTGTAGAGAAATTAAAAAAAACAACAGAAGTATCCATTAAAATCATCAGAATTATGTTTGCACAAGGCAGGACTAGGAATGAGCTTGTTTCACCGGTCGGGTGGCTCTTCAACATTAAATGGTTTACAGTTGAATGGAAGGACAGTGCCAGCAGGCTCCAGATTCTATACCTACTTCAATGAGATGAAGCAGTTATGGTGCCTACTGTGTCCCTTTAATGTTAAAGACCTATCATTGTTACTAACACATTAACACAAAGCAAGTGACACACAAAAGAAAAAGATTTTTGAGTCAAATCCAAAGGCTGGAAAAATAAATTAGCAAGAGGAGATAGGCTGCAGAGGCTTAGACAAGAAAGTCTGCATTCCACATGTGTAGGATGTGCTAAACAAAGGCAGGCTTGGTGATAAGAAGGCAGAAAGGGACAGAAAGAAATTAAAATATATCATGTGGTTTGGGGGACAATACGAAGAGCAATCATGAAGTGAAATAATTGCTATGCGGCCTTGTATCGTAATAAACTGACATTTTACACGGAAGCTAGACCTGATAGACAGATTAACAGAAAAAACAACAAAACAAAGGAAAATATCACAGTTTTATCTGAAAAATGAGCAATAGAGGCAAGTGTCAGGTTAAATAGATGAATAGAAATAACATGTTCTACATTTGTTCAAAAGAGTGCTCTAACCTGCCCCTATCATATGACTTCCGTTCTGGAAGGAGTGCACCTTGAAAATGAAAAATAGTATAAATTCAAATTGCCTGAAGCGCTGGGAGACTGGTGGAGCACTGATTTGTATTAAACCTCTCCCCCACAATAAAAATAACATATAGCTGTAGTGATTATGGTGCATTGCGTGCCTTTTAATTTAAATCTTTCAGCATGCATAACTTACATACATGTTTCAAAGAGTTTATTTACCGAACTTTAAACACACCTTTAAATTTCAAGTCTTACAAACCAGGCCTTACAAGTTTCTCACCATGCTAGGTAGCCCCCAGTTTAACCCCTGATGTGGGGAAAACATATTTTGTCCTGAGGCTTGAGGTGCCAAATATCACCCCAGGCTTAATTTTCAATATATGGGTGGAGCAAGTTCAAACTTACTTGGTTTTGTGAGTCCTTGCAGTTGCTGATTACTGATGTTTCAGCAGATATAGGATAATCTGAACAAGCCCTGTTCACACATGATAAAAAGAAAAGACATGTCTAGTTAAGAAAGGACAAAGCCATTTTTGTAAAGAACCATTTGGCATCTACTGCAATTACAGAAGACAGCACACAACTCTAATTGTGGATGCTTACATAATACATTTCATGTAGGCAACATTTTTAATATTGTACTGCTCTATGCTTTTTCTCTACATATTCAAGGTAACAGGTGAGATATGCATAACTGCACAATGTAGTGGTTATGGTGTCAGGAATGGCCTGCGCGCCCTCCCCAATTTAAATAAATAGTTAAACCATTTGCTAATTGAGTGACAACTTACATGGGATCCATTTACCTCCTCCATGAACGTGGGAAAAGCTCTCTGCATTGAGCTAAGCATGGCGGTGGAGGGCTTATCGCGTTAACAGTAATTCATAAGTTGATGCTCTCAGCCAATGAGTTGGCCCTGCACAGCATAGTTTAGCTCAGGAGAGATATAAGAAGCTTTGCTACATGAAGGAAGTGACAGGTGCCCAGTACATTGGGAAGGTGACAGGGCAGTCCTAGAACCATAATCATGGTTATGGAGCTTGCAGTGTCCACTTAGCCTTTGAACGTACGAACACAACCCAGCAAACCATGCATAGAGTTCCACTTATTTAATCCCTAAATCATACCTATAATGCCCATTGTTATCACTAAACCACTACCCCTAAAAAAAACATTCTTGTGGAAGTCAAAACACAATTTATATTTGTGTTAATATATATTTACATTGTAATGTTTTACCTTCAGAATTCATTAGAAATTATCTAAATGATAGATTATATCACAATATATAAAGAGGGATTCCTCTGTCTGTGTGGAATCATTCTGTCTCCAAGTCACATGACAGGAGTTGGCTCAATGCGCCCTGTTCATGAAACCTTATCATCTAGCTGTTCA